TCCAGTTTCAATCTTCTGCATATGGCTAGCCAGTTGTCCCAGCACTATTTATTCAGTAGGGAGTATTTCCCCCATTGCTTGTTTTTGTCAGCTTTGTTGAGGATCAGCTGATTGTAGGAACAGAGCCTTATTTCTGGGCTCTCTATTCTATTTGATTGGTCTATGGGCCTGTTTTAGTACCAGTACCATTCTGTTTTGTTTACTGTGGTCCTATAGTATATTTCAAAGTTGGGTAACCTGATGCTTCCAGCTTTGTTCTTTTTGCTTAGAATTATCTTGGCCCTTTGGGTTCTTTTTGGTTCCAAGTTTAAAATAGTTTTTTTTCCTAGTTATGTGAAGAATGTCATTGGTAGTTTGATAGGAGTAACACTGAATCTATACATTGCTCTGAGCAGTATGGCCATTTTAATGATACTGATTCTTCCTATCCATGAGCATGGGATGTTTCTCCACTTGTTTGGGTCTTCTCTGATTTCTTCAAGCAGTGTTTTGTAATTCTCATTGTAGAGATTGTTCACCTCTTTTTTTAGCTGTATTCCTAGGTATTGTATTCTGTGGTATTTGTGAATGGAGCTGTCTTTCTGATTTGGCTCTCAGCTTGGCTGTTGTTGGTGTATAGGAATGCTAGTGATTTTGTGTATCCTGAGAATTTGCTGACATTGTTTATTAGCTGAAGGAGCTTTTGGGCTGAGACTATATGGTTTTTAGATACAGAATTATGTTCTCTGCAAACAGATATAGTTTGGCTTCCTCTCTTCCTACTTGGATGCTTTTCTTTCTCTTGCCTGATTTCCCTGGCCAGGACTTCCAATACCATGTTGAATAGGTATGGTGAGAGAGGGCATTCTTGTCTTGTGCCAGTTTTCAAGGGGAATTCTTCCAGCTTTTGCCCATTCAGCATGATGTTGGTGGTTTGCCATATATGGCTATTTTGAGGTATGTTCCTTCAATACCTATTGACAGTTTTTAACATAAAGCAGTGTCAAATTTTATCAAAAGCCTTTTCTGCATCTATTGAGATAGTCATGTGGGTTTTGTCTTTAGTTCTGTTTATGATTTGCTTATGTTGAACCAACGTTGCATCCCAGGGATGAAGCCTACTTGACTCTGGTGGTTTCGCTTTTTGAGTTGCCACAGGATTCAGTTTGCAAGTATTTTGTTGAGGATTTTTGCATGATGTTCATCATGGATATTGGCCTGAAGTTTGTTTTTTTATTGTCACTGCCAGGTTTTGGTATCAAGATGATGCTGGCCTCCTAAAATGAGTTGCGGAGGAGTCCCTCCATCTCAATTTTTTTGAATAGGTTCTATAGGAACGGTACCAGGCCTTCTTTATACATCTGGTAGAATTTGGCTGTGAAGTCATTAGGTCCTGGGATTTTTTTCATTGGAGAGTATTTATTACTAATTCCCTAAATAGATCAATAATGATCTTAGAAGTGGAATCAGTTTTTTCCTGGTCCAGTCTTGGGAAGGTGTATGTATCCAGAAATTTATTTAGCTTTTCTAGGTTTTTCTAGTTTGTGTGCATAGAGGTGCTTGTAGTAGTTTCTGATGCTTATTTTTATTTGCATGGGGTCAGTGGTAACATTCTCTTCATCATTTCTAATTGTGTTTATTTGCATTTTCTCTCTTTTCTTCTTTATTAGGCTAGCTAGTGGCCCATATTATTAATTTTTTCAAAAAGCAGCTCTGAGATTTGCTGATCTTTTGAATGGTTTCTCGTGTCTCAATCCTTCAGTTCAGCTCTGATTTTGGTTATTTCTTGTCTTATGCTAGCTTTGGGGTTGACTTGTTTTTGCTTCTCTAATTCTTTCAGTTGTGATGTTAGGTTGTTAATTTGAGATCTAACTTTTTGATGTGGACATTCAGTGCTATAAATTTACCTCTTAACACTGCTTTAGCTGTGAAACAGAAATTCTGGTATGTTGTATCTTTCTTCTCATTAGTTTCAAAAAACTTCTTGATTTCTGCATTAATTTCATTATTTATCCAAAGTCATTCAGGAACATGTTATTTAATTTCCATGTAATTCCATGGTTTTGAACAATTTTCTTAGTCTTGACTTCTATTTTTATTACACTGTGGTATGAGGGTGTCTTTGATATGATTTTGGTTCTTTTGCATTTGCTGAGGATTGTTTTATGTCCAGTTATGTGGCTGATTTTAGAGTATGTGCCATGTGGTGATGAGAAGAATGTATATTCTGTTGGTTTTGGGTGTAGAATTCTGTAGAGGTCTATCAGATCCATTTGGTCCAATGTTGAGTTCAGATCCTGAATATCTTTGCTAATTTTCTGCCTCAATGATCTAATACTGTCAGTGAAGTGCTGAAGTCTCCCACTACTATTGTGTGGAAGAATCTGGGTTCTTCTGTGTTGGCTGCATACATATTTAGGATAGTTAGATCTTCTTGCTGAATTGAACGCTTTACCATTATGTAATGCCCTTCTTTGTCTTTTTTTAACTTTGTTGGTTTGAAATCCTTTTTGTCCGAAATTAGGATTGCAACCCGTGCTTTTTTCTGTTTTATGTTTGCTTGGTAGATTTTCCTCCAACCCTTTATTTTGGGCCTATGGGTGGGTGTCTTTATATGTCTTATCTTTATCTATCCGTCCAGCCAGCCATTCATCTATATCATTTCTTACCAATAATGACTTTTAAAAGTGCAACCACAACATCATTAACATAACCAAAAAATCAATAATAAAATATCATCTAATACCCAGTCCATGTCCAATTTTCCCTATCTCAAAATTGTCTTTTTGTAAACAGTTTGTTCAAATCACAAACCAGATTCAGAAACAAAAGCCATACATTACATTTTATTAATACCTCTCTTACATTTCTTTTAATCTATAACACTTACAGGAATTTTTATGTTTTCATTTATCCTTCCAATTATTTTTTTAAAAGTATTTGTTGAATAGAAAATTCTTGCAGAAAAGTAAAAAAAAAAAAATTTAAGTATAGTACAAAAAGGTACATAGTGACTGTTCCTCAGTCTCCCTTCCCAGAAGCAGTGCTGCCACTTTTGTAGAAATAGTCTCTGCCTAGACACACATGCCAGTCCCCAAGGCTGCTGACAACAAGGTGGTTAAGTATGAGAACATGAATTCAAATTCCTATTATGCCACTTACTAAATATAAATCTTGGGGATGGTACCTGGCCTCTGTGCCTCGGTTTTTGAAAATAGTACTTATCTTATAGGGCTGTTGAGAGAATTAAGTCATATAATTGCTTACATTATTATTAATATTTGTTATTATACACATTCTCTTTTGGCTTTTTTTCACAAATAGCAGAATGATGCACATCCGTCTTCATTTATTTGGCTCATTTTTTCATCTCACATCACATTTTGATGAATAATTCCATACATGCTTCATTCTTTGTAATCATTGACTAATATTTCATTGTATGAATATGCTCCTGCTAAACATGTAAGTTATTTTCAACCTATTCTTATTATCAAACAATGCTACAATGAATATGCTTGTAATACTTTATTGGATTCATGTGCAAAAATATTAATAGGATAAAACCCTCAAAGTTAAACTGCTGAGCTAAAGGATGTGTGCATTTTAATGCTTTATAGATATTGCCCAGTTGCGTCAACAGAGGTTATACCAATTTACACTCCCAAGCGTCCCCATTTCCCTATACTCTAGCTAACACAGGATATTGCTAAATGTTTTCGTCTTTGTAAACACGACGTGTTGAAAATGGTATCTCACAGTTTTAATGTGCATTTCTCTGATTATGATAAGATAAAGGAAATGTAGTGCCACTAAACCTCAGTAGTCAAATGACCTGGCCATGACTCCTGAGTGAGGACACTGGCAAACACCATTAGGATCCAAACACCTCTGTATTTATGAAGAGGATACTCCCTATTGGATAGCACTAAGCTTATCTCATGTATGTACATGTGTAGTTAGTTAGTTACATCCAGCAGCGGTGAAGGGCTTATTCTGAACCAAACAAACTTTCTCTCTTACCCACTTCCAGCATCTGGTTGGGAGTAGCACGTTATGGTCATGAGGCATGCATTTGTACAGATGACCACTTACTCCTCCTTGAAACACTTTTTTTTTCCATTTGCTCCTCTGCTGTCTCACTCATGGGTCTGCTCCTAAGTCACAAATTACTCATTTCCCAGTCTTCTTGGCTGTCTTTCCCCCTCATCTGCGCTTGTATACATGCGGGAGCCCAGGGCTTCTCTCTCGAACTGCAGCTTCTCCCTGGGTGATGTCTATTCCAATGGGTTTCAAGACTAAGGCTAGGACTAGGGAGAGGCCATTGAGGCACCTAGCACATGAAGTGTAAGGAAACATTCTTTACTGGGCCCATGCATGTGCAGAACTGGCCCTGGAGAATGACTGCTGCCGTGCCTTTTCCGCCCTAGGCACCTTGTTTGCTTCACCCTAGTCCCAGTCCTTTTAAACAGCCCAGTCTTCTCCCTGGACCTCCAGAAACATAAATTCTATTTGACATTTCTACTTGGAGGTTTTAAGATAACTCAAATGTAAAATATCTAAGACAGAACTCTTGCATCACTTCCCATCCTGGTGCCTGAGCCTGTTTCTTCTACTAGTCTATCTCAGTTAACCGCATCACCATTTATTCAGCTGCTCAGGATGAAAATTTTAGAGTAATCCTTGATTCCTTTTTTTTTTTTTTAAACAAGTCCTATCTTCCATCTCCAAATTGTATCCCAAATCTGACAACCTCTCCCACTGTAGGCCAGCCCCCATCTCTCACTTGTGTAAATAACCTCCCTTAGATTTCTGGATATTTGTCCTTCCCCACCCCCTTGTGATCACTACTCAGCATCCAGAATGATCTTGTAATATCATGAAGGAGGCTGTGTCACTCTCCTACTTAAAGCTCTCCAGTGGCTTCCTAATACATTTAGAATAAAAAGCCAAGTCCTCACCATGGTCAATAGGCCAGGTCCAGTGGGTGCAGCAATCTGAATCCAGCACAATCCCACTTCTGCCTCCCCACCATTCACCAGGCTCCACTGCACTGGCTTATTCCTGCCTCAGCTGTGCTCCTTTTCCCTGAAAAGTTCTTCTAGATCTTCATGGGTGATTTCCCTCTCAACATTCAGGTATGAACTCATGCCACTTTCCTGACCACCCCCATCCACTCAGAGATCACCCAAAATCCCATTACCTACTTTATTACTCCATCGTGTGTAACACTATCTGAAACTATCTTATTGTTGATGCGGGATATTTCTTGACCCCTTCACAGACTCGCACAGGAGTGCCCCATGTACTCAGCCTGCCCCAACTCAACCCCTTGCAGGAGGGAGCACACGCATGAACGAGTGCAGGAGCCGGCTAGCTGCTTTAGTGCTGGAGCAAACTCCATGCAGGCCCTGCAGTGGCATCCAGGTGGGGGCGCCTGCAACCCCAGGGCCTCAGAGGGTGTGTCACAATGCTCTCTTAGCTCTGCCACCGGGCGGACAGCAATGCGTTATCAGCTCAGTGGGCCCTTTGCTTCATCACGTGGGCTGGCTGCCCTCTGCCAGTGAGGGCAAAGGGCCAGTGTGACAGTCTTTTTGAGTACCCGCACTTTGTGCATCCTGAATCGTCTCTCTAATGTCCAGCCACCATCTCTGAAGTCAAGTCGCCTCTCTCTGATGTACAGCCACTTCTCATGTCTACTGGTTACGTCTGGGGTGTTTATAGGCACAGGATGGGGGTGGGGGTGGAGCGGGTCATAGGTAATTTTGGGAAAGGCAACATTCTATTGGTAAAAAGACATTATTCAAAAAAAACCAATTGGGAAAGAGCAGGCACATAGGGATAGAGTTCTCACTTTGGGCAGTGGGTTTCAGGCTTTTCAGCTCAAAAGTGAGGTTTTGCCAGGGACCTGCCCCTGTCTGCCTAGAATTCCTACGCCTCTGTCACTGTTACCACTGGATAACAGTTCTACAAAGTTCAGGGCCTTAAAACAAAAATTTACTAATTCAGCTGGACAGTTCTTGACAGGGCCTCTCCTAACTGTTGCAGTTACATAGCAGCTGGGTTGGACATCCAGGACAGCTTCTTCCCTCTTGTGTCTGGTGCCTCAGTGCCCCTCCAGGCAGGCTTTCTCTCCAGCAGAGTAGCCTGGACTTCTTGGCAACTCAAGCTTCCAAGAGAGAAAAAAAGCAGAGACTGCTGGTTCTCTTATCAAACACAGTGGAACTAGCACAGTGTACTTCTGCTGCCATATTCAGGAGGTCGAAGCAGTCCAAGGCTAGTCCAAGTTCAAGGACACTGGTGGAAAAATTCTACCTCTTAAATGGGAAGTGACACGTCTGAAAGGGGGAAAAGCATTGATTGTGTCCATCTTTGGAAATAAGCTATTGTGTGGTCTAGTGGTCTGTCTTCTCCCTTTAGGTTATAAGCTCTATGAGACAACAGGAACCTTGTTCATCTTGTTTCATGGCTCTACTTCCAGCACCTAGAATCCCTGGCACATAGTAGGTGCTCAGTAAATAAATTAAGCACTTATAACATGTTTGGGGAACTAAAATGAACAGAATTAAACTTCTCCAGACTGGTTCTGCCAGATTTGCTGATGCCAAGCATGCTGATGCCTCATCAGACAAGAGAAACCCTAAAATGTATGGTTTCACTTTCTCTACAAACAAGAAAAACTTGCCCTGAACACAAAGTCTAGAAATAGATTTGGCGTGTTTTCGATATGGAAATATTTCTCATAGTACCAGAAATTATTTCCCCATAGCTTTGTGCTACATTAAAATATTGAAGTTGACAAAAATATCTCCATTCTTTAATCTTGGTGTGGACTAGAAACAATTTTTTTGGTAACAAAGTAAATATGAAAACTTCCTGATGTTTGAACTTCCCAGATATCTCCACACTTAAAATATCATTGCAAGTTAAGATAGATTTTTTAAAAATGACTGCTGAGAAAGGTCATCAAAAGCTTGATCATTAAAATGTATAGGTTTGGGTTATAAAGCCAGCACTTAATTATTTAAATCATTACATATGACCAAGTACAGAAAATAAATTAACTCAAATCTCCTCTTTGCCAATTTTTACGGGTGAACTCTGTAAGATGATCCTATCTTTAAACCTTTTTGTAAACCCCTTATAAGTTAGTAAGTGAGAATGTATTCATCAGAAGGATTTTAGTGATGTTTGAAATTTAAAAAGGAGAGAGATTTAATTTTTAAAATTATACTTGCAGACTACTGCTAATGAAATTTCTTCTGACCCTAGTTTTGTCTTATCTTCAGTCTTTCCAGATTTGCTCAAAGTGATCCCAGTGAGCATCCACGTCAATGTCATTCTCTTCTCTGCCATCTTTATTGTGTTAACCATGGTGGGGGCAGCCTTCTTCATGTACAATGCTTTTGGAAAACCCTTTGAAACTCTGCATGGTCCCCTAGGGTTGTATCTGTTGAGCTTCATTTCAGGTAAGTACAAAATTCTACCTCTGAAGACAAATGTACTTTTCAATATGTCAAAAAGATGGTCTACCTAAATATAAAGTTATAGTCTTAATACATATACATGGATGCACACTGTAGTCTTATATGTGATAACAAAAAGTGTGAAAATACCACAGTTCAACAGTAGGGAATTCAATAGATACTTTATGGAAGTCTATGAAGTATGACGCTGACATTAAATTATATTTTTGAAGGTGTAATCAAGAGGATAAATGCTGTGTCAAAAAGTGGAAAAAGCAGAGGTAAACTTATATAAACATTATAAACCTAATTTGATATTTATAAAATATAGAGGATATATAAAATACATATGTACATATATGTATATAGAGGCTATATATGTATATATGAGATAGAGAGAGAGAGAGAGAGAGAATAGACTACAGTCTATTGGTTGTGGTTGTCTCTGACCATGACACTATGGGTGACTTTTGTGTCTGCTCATGCTTATCAGTATTTCTAAGTGTACAATAATGTGGCATTATTTATACATAATAAAAATAAATAAATGCCATCAAAAAAGAGTAAAGGGCCAGTGTTCCACCCACATATGAGCAGCCATATTCAAGCCTGTAGGTACTTTGTGTATGCTAGGTATATCTGGACAAGGATAAACTCTAAAGCCGGAAAATAGTTCATCAATAAACATGTGCTACTCAATAGCCAAGGCTGATGGAAAAGAATGCAAAATCCAATCAGTGCCAAAGGGTGCTTACTTTCGGCAAGTGGGAGAAGGAAAAAGAGAAGAAAATGAAAAATGTGTATATAATTCATATGCAGCTGTTCTATAGGCGATCTCTGATCTTACCCCATTCTACATTTGCAAAAAGATTCAACACTCTGTCAGTTTCCTAGGAGGCAAGTGATTTTACTGATGGTTTCATGGAGAGATACAGAAAGATAACAACTCACACCAGCAATCAATGTGATGAAAATCTCTATTTAACTCTTTCTTTTTCTCCTGAAGTTGCCCTTTGGCTGCCAGCCACCAGGTACCAGGCTCAAGGTACTTTCTTGCACTTGACATTGCTCCCTTCTCCCGTACAATTCAACCCCAGCCACAGACGTATATAGATCTCTCTATATAAAACAAAGCCCTGTAGTTAGCAGGTCACTCGCATTGCAGCCTCTCTCTGTTCACTGTTACTTGCGCATGCTGCTTAGGGTTTCACCCCATCCACATCCTGTTAATCACATTTTTCACCCAACCAAAGTAGATCTCTCACCAGTGGAGATTCTGCTAATATATTCTTGGTATTTGTCACAAGTATATAATACAGTTTTAAACTGTGCAGATGATTACCCTATAAGGGCAGAGTCTAAGGCTTTCCCATCTTTCTATCTCTGGCAAAAGCATTCAGCATGAAGCTCTGTACGCAGTGGACAATTCAATATGTATTTGCAGATTTGAAATAGCAAGCCCAGAAAGGAGATATTAACTTGGTCACCTAGACAGAAGAGGTTTTAGCAATCAGAATTCATATGAGATGGAATTGGCAGAACAGGTGCTTTGAAGCAGTAGGACATGAGCCAGTGAGGAGTGAGATGGAATATCATACACGAAGACCAAAGGCTTTGCAACCAGGGCAGAAGAGCAAGAGCACAGGCTCAAGGTGTGGGCAGACAGAATGAGAAAAGGATTCAGTCACATGTGAAGGTCCGGATGAGAAGAGAGAGTTGGATTACTTCTGCTCACCAAACATACAACACCAAACTGGTGGATCCTGGCGGTGTGCTGTTTTAGTGATGACCATCACACATGATTTTAACAGAAGGAATAGAATGTAAAGCAGTGGTTCTCAAGCCAGAGTCTCCAGATGAACAGCATCCTCATCATCTGGAAACTTGATAGAACAGCAAAGTCTCAGGCCCTACCCCAGACCTACTGAATCAGAAACTTGGGGGTCTGGGGGAGGATGGCCATCTGTATTTTAACAAGCCCTTCAGGAGATTCTGAGGCTGGCTCAAGTTTGAGCTACAGGGAATTGATTCAACAGGTGGTGGCAGACTAACTAACAAAAAGGAGGCCCTGAGGTAACTCAGAGATGGTAATGTCAGAAAGCAGCTACCACCCTAGGGCTTGGTCGATCCAACAAAAGAGTTTGGCATTGCCAACCGGGCATGGTGGCTCACACCTGTAATCTCAACACTTTGGCAGGCCAAGGCAGGCGGATCACAAAGTCAGGAGTTCGAGACCAGCCTGACCAACATAGTGAAACCCCATCTCTACTAAAAA